TGTTGTTTCATGAAAGAGTTTCATAAAATCTCTTATAATTTTTCACTATACAAACATGTTTTAGAGTTCGACTTGAGTTATGTAATTAAAGAATTTTATTTCAGAGCTTGGAATTGTTAATTTCATCTTTAAACCTATAAAGATGTATTATGATATATGGTTTTAATTTTCTCTATGAAGAATAACAAAAACTCTGATGGTGTTAAATACATAATTTTAAAGTACTTCAGAATTAGAGAGTCGTTAAAGACGATATTCTTTATGAGCACATGTTATAGAATACATACTAGTTGATCCTCTAAATATAGGGTTTAGGCCAAATTTTAGTTTGCTAAATATATTGAGCATATGGGTACTTTATCGTTTTTTATGTGCTTGGTTAAAGAATTTTTTTACCCATGAATATTATCTATGGTGTATTTCAGTTAATAAAGTTTAATGTGTTTGTTCACATTTTGTTTATAGTTATGTGTGTACACATAAATGGTAACTGTTATGTATGTATTCGTCTTATATGAACTCTTAAAGTTATATTTAAATTTTGAGATATAAAGATTGAAATTTTAATTTAGAAGTGTATGATGGGAGCATTTGTATGGTGCTGGACTTAATCTCATAATGAGCAGCAGTGGTGTTGGGTAATTGGATGCATGATGGTGATGTATATGCGGTGGGTGTAAAATAATCCTTAAGTGTCTGGTTAAGCACATTCGGGACATTAGGATCTGCCATCTCTAATGGCTATATGTATGAATATTCAAGCCTAGGAATATGGGCAGAGGTCCTAAGTCTCCTAAGGGTCCTTTCTAGTTCAAGGTCCAAACTCCACAGTTCAGGGCGACAAGAACGACGCCCGTGCATACACTACCCAAACACACACACAAGTTCCGACTCTGTGCACTAAGTATGAAAGCAAATTACCAAAGGAAGAAATACTCACAGCGGTTTAACGAAAACGCTTTACTCGTCTTACGGATGCTTGACGTGTAGACGTTGTCTCCAACCTCTGTTTGAGCTTTGACTTCCGTTTTAGCACTTTGGTGCTTTGCTTGTAAGTGTTTGCTTCTGTTTACTCACTTTAGCGCTGCGGTTTTTTTTTTTTTTTTTTAAAGCTCGACTGCGCTCCGCTTGCACTTCAGTGATATCTCTAATTTCAAACGCTCTGCACACTTAGCAACACCAAAAGCATAAAATCCTAAACTAAAAATTAAAATAAGAATGTAACTTTAAATTAACTAATTTCGCCAGAAGTCCCCGGCAAAGGCGCCAAAATTTGGTGGGTCGTTGAACACACCAAAATTAAATATTAAACTATACCAAATTCAATCAGAATAATGGCAAGTCTAGGTATCGATCCACAGGGACTATTGTGAAATTAAACTAATTTAATTGTTAAATTCCTAAATTAATTTTGATAAAAAGATTGAATGGTCATAACCTAATTTAATAACAAATAAATTAAACTAAGGAATTAAATTATCAATAATAAATGAAATTGGATTTACTAAATTGGGGAAAAATCCTAGGGTAGAGAATTCACCACTAACCACATAATTAGGGTTTCCAATTGAAATTAATTATGCTATGGTTTGAACGAATTAATGCTTCACAACTACAAGCTCAAAGCATTTAACAAGAAGATCATCACATTCAATGTACGAGCACGAACCATCTCAAGCAATACGACTCGTTCACTCTAAACTAGGGTAGTGATACGACTCGTTCCTCGTAGCATGGTTCGTCCCATATCGTTCACTCTAAACTAGGGTAGTGATACGACTCGTTCCTCGTAGTATGGTTCGTCCCATACCTTGAATGTGAAGGAAAAGAAAACAATTGTATGGATAACATTTAACAATCACAGAAAGTCAAATATTCGAAAGAATAATGAAAATTATATAAAACAAACTTCTAAATCACCATACAAATGTTCAAACCTTTACATAATTAAAAATAAAAAAGAAAACTACATAATTACATGGCTAGGGTTTCATCAAAACCCTAGAAAAGAAGACTAGCCACTCATGGAGGAGTGGAAGGAGGTAGAAGGAGAAGGAACCACCATGGGAGACATCTTGGAGCTTTTGTTTCTCTTCTTTTCCAAACCCTAGCCTCTCCCTTTAGGTCAAAACAACTTCCGAACCCTAATCCAGCCTTTTACATGCCTTTTTATACTTCCAATCTCGTCCAAACAGGTTTAAAACGTCGGTTTGACTTTTCCAGAAAAAGTCAACGCAAGTGCGGAAAAAGTCAACGCACGTGCGGGAAAGTCAACTCTACCCAAATTCTGTCTTTTTGCTCATTTTATGCTCCAACGATGTACAACCTGATTGACACTCAACACACATAAAATATACAGTTTGACCAACAAGTGAAATTAAGAGATTCTAATTAACGGCCTCAATGATGTACATTTCGGCCTTAATCAGCGGGTGTGTGCCGGAAACCCCTCCGATGCCTAAGTTAGTAACTAGACAATAGATAATAAGCTTTGTGTATTCTAGAGTAAGAATTGGGATACTTCCCCATAGGTCTGGTCATGAACTTTTATAGATTTTGTCTGGCCCAATCCTAGTAGGATTCTAACTCTCCCTATGAGAGTGCTCCTAGGAATCACACACCCTACTCATTACCAACCAAGTGAGATGGTTTGCACAATCCTATTAGGACTTTACTCTCCTTAGCAGAGTCCTCCTAGGAGTCACACTCCTACTCACTACCAACCAAGTGAGATGGATACCTCTTTTATATAAGCTGCTGCAACCACACTAAGCTAAGTTACCTCGGTCACACACTGAGGTAATGATGTAGATGGCGCTCGGCCGAGGTATACCAAGACTGACCGAGCTATACCAAGCCCGACATCCTTTCTTATCAATACCTCGGCTAACCATCAGGTCCACTTATTTAGGTAGCTTGGTCCAAAGTATCTTTGCCCAACTTTCATACAACATGGGACCGAGCTACTCGAAGCCCATATCTCGGCCTTTAGTCAGGCCCATAACAAAAACTAAAGGATCGTAGCTCGGGCCAATATTTCTTTATAAATTACCTTCTCAATTATCCCTTAATTGCATCTGCGAAGCATGATTGGGATTACTTTTCTCTGGCCGAGCTAAAAACGCTCAACTCTGCCGAACTAGAGAAGTTTGTTCGGTCTCACAACTCGTTCAGTCCCAACAAGTCTTGTCAGTTGCTCAGCACGTCATTTCACTAATCTGGTATGTCTGATACGACGTTACCCCAAGGACAGGTGGCGTGCCCCCATTAGCCCCGTTTCCTATTACAGCCGTCATACCAAAAATTTGAATAGCCCTGCTTTTTTGCCTTCAACGTATATACCCTTCAAGTTTGTAATCGTACGACGAGTCGTTCTTTCTGTGTCTCGCCGAACAGACTAACTCGGTTTACACTAACCTGCTTTGGCTGAGATAACCATCTCGGTCCAGGAATTCAAAAATTTATTGGTCAAATCTGCCAACCTGCTTTGGCCGAGGTAACCATCTGTAGACACCCCATTTTTGATTTTAAAATATTTAGGTGGCGACTCTGTATCTGGCAAAGCAGTCCATGTTTGGCACTACTTTTTCAAAAATCTGTTTCTCAAAACGATTTGCCAGATTTGGACTCTTTGGTTCAGATTAAGAACCGTGACACAAATCGAGTCCGAACTGTAGTAGTGAGGTCCCTCCGCGGGCGCGTCTACACCATCATTCTGGCCAAAGAGTTCAAAAAACTTGTTGGTCAAACCTGGCAACCTACTTTGGTGGAGGTAACTATCATCCCGGCCAAAAAGTGCAAAAGTTTTGTTGGTTATACCTGCCAACCTACTTTGGCCGAGGTAACTGTCATTCCGGCCAAAGAGTGCAAAAGTTTTGTTGGTCATACCTGCCAACTTCCTGCAGCCTAAATCCTTGTCTCGGCATAGGAGAGCTAAATGTTGGTTATTCCGGCCAACCCTTTTCAGCCTAGATCCTGATCTCGACTGAAGAGAATAAAATGTTGGTTATTCCTGCCAACCCTCTTCAGCCTAGATCCTGATCTCGGCTGAAGAGAACAAAATGTTGGTTATTCTGCCCAACCCTCTTCAGCCTAGATCCTGATCTTGGCTGAAGAGAACAAAGTGTTGGTTATTCCGACCAACCCACTTCAGCCTAGATCCTGATCTCGGCTGAAGGGAGCTTAATGTTGGTTATTCCGGCCAACGTTCTTCAGCCTAGATCCTGATCTCAGCTGAAGAGAGCTAAATGTTTCATTATTCCGGCCAAACTTCTTGATTGTCCCCCAGTCGGGCAAAGACTTGCTAGAAATAGTTGGTCAAACCTGCCAACCCACTTTGCCCCCAGTTGGGCAAAGATTTTTTACTTGGTTAGTCCTTCTTGTCGACCGTGCTAACTTTTGTCGAAGGTGTTCTATCTGACATCGCTGTTTGTATCAAACTTTGCCTTGGTGTGCATCCCATCTTTCTCTGCCAAGATGTGTTGGTGCACTCGCTCAATCAGGGCCTTCATAGCAAGAGGCGGTGTCATTGTCATTGAATCTCTCAACTTATGACCCAATAGCAGACCTTGCTTGTACTGTGCAATAGCTAGGTTGGTAGGACAATCTGTTACTTGGTTGAAGGTCTCCCAATACCTATTGTTGTAAGACTTCAACGTTTCTTTCTCGCCTATGTCGATGGAGAGAAGCTGGTTAATCTCCACTGGCGTCTTGGTGTTTATTCTGAATCTGGTTACAAATGCCTCTGCTAGTTGTGCCCATGAAGCTATACTACCTTCTGGTAACCTTTCAAACCATGTTAAACACATGTTGCCAAGGCTAGACGGAAACATGATACACATTAAGGGCTTGTTTCGTCGATACACGGCCATAACTTGGCGAAAATGGCTCAAGTGCATGTAGGGGTCTGACTTCCCCTCATAAGTTGTGAATTTAGGCTGATGGAAGCCTGAGGGTAATGGTGCGTTCTCCATTATCAGAACGAATGGTGAGCTCTGCAACCTTGCTAATGTTTTGTCTGCTAGTTCATAGGCAAGGCGTGGCTTTGGAATTCCAACCTCGACACTCCCATGTGTTCTAGGAGCCAATTGTTGTAGTGCGAAGACTCTGCGGGGGTCGCGAGCCTGAGTGTCTTCTCTTCTCCGAGCCCTTTCAGTCCTCATTCTCTTAGGCCTGGAGCAGCGTGTCCTAGAAGTCTTTGATTGTGTATCGCTTGACTTGAGGCTTCTACTTTCAGTTTGTGATAGTGTAACTTGTCTGTCACGATCTTCTGAGTGGCAAGAGCATGTGTTGCCTTTGCACCCTTCTTTTGTTGCCACCTATTTGCTTTTCATCCGGCTCTTCATAGACTCTATGTCAGCCGCCATTCTTCTTATTACTTCGTCTTGCTCCCTTACACGATCTTCGAGAACCTGATGATCCATCTTCCACCTCTGTCTATCGGGGCTTTGAGAGCGGTGTGGACTTGAGCCCTGTCTTTCTCTCTCTTATTTTCGCAGATTCCTTCGCTGGGGATCTAATCCTGCCATGGGTGGGATAGAAGGTAAACCTTCACGCCACCCACCCCTTTCCGGGGTCTGCCCATCAATAGCAGAGTGTGGTAAGTCTTCGTTATGTGCCATTAATTTCAACTAGAGAGGAAAACTTGATCAAGGGGTTTTGCTCTTTGTGAATTTCCCACAGACGGCGCCAATTGTACGAGCGCGAAATAATCTTCTCGTATAATCCTGTTGATCAAGTTTGCACTCCTCCAAACGTCGTCGCTTTACTCCCTGAAAACACAAATGTGAGCTAACCAGCGGGTGTGTGCCGGAAACCCCTCCAATGCCTAAGTCAGCAACTAGACAATAGACAATAAGCTCTGTATATTCTAGAGTAAGAATTGGGATACCTCTCCATAGGTTTGGTCATGAGCTTTTATAGATTATGTCTGGCCCAATCCTAATAAGATTCGAACTCTCCCTATGAGAGTGCTCCTAGGAATCATACACCCTACTCACTACCAACCAAGTGAGATGGTTTGCACAATCCTAGTAGAACTTTACTCTCCTTAGCAGAGTCCTCCTAGGAGTCACACTCATACTCACTACCAATCAAGTGAGATGGTTACCTCTTTTACATAAGCTGCTGCAACCACACCGAGCTAAGTTACCTCTTTTATATAAGTTGCTGCAACCACACCGAGCTAAGTTACCTCGGTCACACACTTAGGTAATGATGCAGATGGCGCCCGGCCGAGGTATACCAAGACCGACCGAGCTATACCAAACCCGGCATCCTTTCTTATCAATACCTTGGCTAACCATCAGGCCCACTTATTTAGGTAGCTCGGTCCAAAGTATCTCTACCCAGCTTTCATACAACATGGGACCGAACTACTCGGAGCCCATATCTCGGCCTTTAGTCCGGCCCATAACAGAAACTAAAGGATCGTAGCTCGGCCAATATTTCTTTATAAATTACCCTCTCAAGAACCATACGAAAATCCACCATTATTTATTTATCTATTTAGTTTGGAGTTATATGATTAATGTTAATATGTTCTCTTCTGTAACTGTAAAGGATATTAAATCAATCTGACTTCATGCTTGATTTTTACCTGATGCTAATGAGTGATTATGGGTATTGTGAATGTTAACGAGATTAGAATATGAGATTACTCTTATATTTGATTGCATGTATCTTAATGATGAACAATTGTGAATAAATTATTATTTATTCAATAATGTTTACTCAAAGTTTTTATTTTGATTTGAAATTTAAATTATGATACGATTAGTAGTTGTCAAAGTGACCCAATCGGAATGACACATAGATATCAAATCAAATAATTGAAATTTAATACCCTTCCCAAGTATTAAAAAATAATGATTTTGCAAATTGCAATTCTTTAATTACAAAGATATTAAGTTGGCCCAAAGGTGCATTACTTCTAAGTAATTGTTGAATTGGAATATGATAATTGATGGGTATTCATAATTGATATTGGAATGATACCCAAAGGTAACAGACCTACTCAATTATGGATATTTTATCAACTAGTCATATTGGTGAAAGAGAATCACCATAATTGTTAAATAGTATGCTATTAGATTATCCCAAAGGTAAATCATGGTGATGCTATTTGTGGTTGTTTAAACATGTATTTATTTGGACTAATTGGCAATTATTGATTACTCTTAGCATTAATGTAGTGAACATGAATTATTGATTAAAGTTTTATTTCGCTATATTTTATACCTTGTTTGTTTCGATTTTAAATGATAAAGATTTCTCAAAAAATAGAATAAGTTCAGTTTCATCTCGATATTTTGAATTTTGACTTAGTGTTACTATTTAAGAAATTTTCTGCTATTATGATTCAAGTAGTGTAAAAGAAAAAAAAGACTTTTCATAAAGTATAAAAGGATCGAACAAATAAAATTTATGTTTTTATCCGAATAAGTATAGCGAACATTTAGTTTTAACTTCCTTAAATTGATAATACTAAATAATGTGAAAGAACATTTCCGAACTGCTAATAAGTTTTATGCTGGGACACTTATCGTTAAGCTTACCAACATAAAGTTTGATGGTATGCATGAGATGTATGAGCATGTCATTGAATTGTCTAACCTGACTGCTCAATTAAAGAATTTAAGAATATTTGTGAATGAGTTTGTTTTCGTGCAATTTATTTTGAATTATTTATCTCTTTAGTATGGGTTATTTATATTAATTATAATTTTATGAATAGTAAGTAGAAAGTTAATAAATTGACAAGTATGTTTATTTAAAAAGAGACAAAACTTAAGTAATTTAGATATCATCTATTGATCTTGTAATTGAAGGAGTCAAAAAGAAAAGGAGGATGCTTATAAAAAGACATAAAGAAATGGCCACATAAAAAAAAATGAATCTGCTCAAGATTTTTAGTCTCATACAAAAGAAAATAGCTACTCATGTTTTTGATACGGTGCAAGATTATTCTCAAACCAATTATGTTAAATCTCCAATTGAAATTATTGGGCTTTATTGTTTATTTTTTAAACATTGATCATTGTTTAGACTTTGTTTCAAAAACAATTGTGTTCATTCTAATTTTGAAAAATTATTTATTGATTTGTCTAAACTTAATTAATCTTGATGGCTTTTTTTCAAAATTTAGAATAAAAGTTTAATTTATTGAAAATGCCTCTTTTATTAATTTTGGTATTATTTATGATGGTTTGTATAAATTAAAGTTTATAATTTCTCAAAAATTTAATTTATCTTGCATCATTATGTTGGTTCTAAATATAGCTTGATAAATGAAAACTCATCAAACTTATGGCATAAAAGATTTTATTGCTTTTAATGGGAGTGTGGGTTGCATTAAGGAAAAGCAATTCAATCACATTAAGTAAAGTGCCACAATATATACAGGGTTTCTTCATATTACCCAAATAGACATTAATGTGCCCTTTTGACACTTCATGTTTGGTAAATAAAATTATTTTATCACTTTTATAGATGAATTTTCACTTTATGATTTTGTTCATTTATTGAATAACAAATATCTAGTAAATGAACACATTGATGTGTACATTATTAAGAAAGAAAGACAATTAAACAAAAATGTGAAAACATAAAGATAGTGCAAAACACAAGTCTATTTGCTAAACTCTATGAAAGACATAATGCCTCAGCAGAATGATGTAGTTGAGAAACATTATTGTACTCTAATGAATATGACTAAGAGTATATTAAATAATTTCTAATACCCATAATATTGTGGATATATGTCGTTATGATTTATTGTTTTCATATAGAATTTGGTTCCTAGTAAGGCAGTTTCAAATACTCACTTTGAACTGTGAACATGAAGGAAATCGAACTTAAGACACCTGCATATTTGAGGTTGTCTACAAAATTACAATTATTGATCCTTATGAAAAGAAATTGGATTTTAGAATAATCAATGGTTATTTTGTTGATTATCTTGAAAATTCAAAGGGTTACTATCTTGGTCATAGTACAAGAATTGCAGAAACCGACAATATCAAATTTAATAAGAATGGTGAAATCAGTGGGAGTGATAAATCATGAAATGTGATTATTCAATACGTTTAGGTACAAGTATCATTACCCATAATTTGAAAGAAATAGTCGTTCCTATAATTGTTAAACAACTTAATGTTTTGGAACAACAAATGAATAACCAATTACTCCATAATATAATTATCACCAATGAAAAGTTGTAGAAGAACCACAATAAATAATATTAAGAAGATCTCATAAGGTAAAGAGATTTGTCATTTCAAATGATTATGTGGTATATCTATAACATTCTTGTTATAATATTGGGATAAGTAAAGACTCGGCTTTATTGTCACAAGCCATAGAAAGTATTGATTCTACTAAATGAATTGATGTTATGAATGACAAGTTGAAATCAATGGACCAGAATGAAAATTGGGATTTCATTGAATTGCCTAAGGACACAAAAATATTTATTCTTTTAAGGGCAATATAAAATGATATAATGCTAGATATGTGGCCAAAGATTTTACTCAAAAAGTAGACATTGATTACAGAGAGATATTTTTTTACTTATTTCTTAAATAGTTAATTTAGAATCATTATGGCATTTGTAGCTCATTATGATATTGAGTTGCATTAAATGTATGTGAAAATTAATTTTCTAAAAGTGAATTTAGATGAAGAATTTTGTATAGATCAACTTAAAAGTTTCTCTCTTGAGGAAAATAAAAATGTGACTTGCAAACTTAAGAAATCAATTTATGGACTTAAACAAGCTTTTTAAAAATTGTATCTTAACTTTTATGATACTATTTCCTTTGGATTTAAAGAAAATATTTTTGATTAGTGTACATATCCAAAGATCAGTGAGAGCAAGTTTATATTTACGATTTTGTGTGTTGATAAAATTTTGCTTGTCAATAATGTACATGATTTATTGCACAAATTAAGAAATTTCTCTTTAAGAACTTTGAAATGAAATATATTAATAAGACAATCTATGTGATAGAAATTAAAATATTTCTGAATGAATCACATGAATTGTTAAGATTATCTAAGAAGGTATATATTAAAAGTTCTATAGAGATTCAGAATGAGAGAATATTCACATAAAGTTATCTATGTTCCGAAAGGAAATAAGTCCAGTCATATGCAAAAATTT